TACAGACAACAAGTCGATGTTTCTCTTATGTGATGTTTCTGTCTCTCTCCTTTCCTCTCTAAAAATCAATAAAAAAATCCTTGGGTGAGGATTAATATCCATATTTCAAACTCTTCTTAAATGAATATATTTTAATTTGGAGTTGTCTGAACTGGGATTCCGCTCCAATCTACACTAATAAAAGACAAAGATGCTAATTGACCATACCTTCACTATGCTCATCAGCCAATCAGAAGAGTATGCAAATTAACCCAACAAAGATGGCCATTAAATTTGCATACTGCAGCCAGATCCCGCTGCGCCGCCCTGCATGGGTGGCAGCGCGATCCCCAGCCGCCGCCGCCCCACCTTTGGATCTGGGCCTGCCGTGTTCGGCCTGGGGCAGGGGGCGGGCAGCAGCGCGATCCCAAACTGCTGCCTGCCCCAGTTCGGGATCCGGGCCTGCCATGTGCAGCCCAGGGCGGGCAGCAGCATGATCCCGAGCCACCGCCCTCCCCAGCACGGGATCCAGGCCTGTGGTGTGCGACCAGGGGAGACGCGGCAGGCACCTTGGGATCGGGCGTGCCATCTGCCACCAGGGGAGCGGGCCTAAGCCAGCAAGTGGTTATCTCCCGAGGGGTCCCAGACTGTGAGAGGGTACAGGTTGGGCTGAGGGACCGCACCCCCCCCCGCCAGTGCACAAATTTTTGTGCACCGGGCTTCTAGTATTCCATAAGTGGCAAGGTCAATCTCGATCATTTAATGTGCTTTAAAATTACTTCTTTGGCTATGCTCCCCCTGTTGTTTTTGCTAGGGAGCTTGCTCTTTCTCATTTGGAATCTTATCCAGTCACCCATCAAATTGTTTTTCTTTGCAAAAGCTTCTGCCAGCACACAATTCTGGCATTTCTGACCTTAGTTATGAGCCAGAAGTTTTTCAGGGGTTCATGTGAGCTTTGGAAAGGACAGGTGCTGAAAACAGCCCAGATACACACACACACACACACACTTCTACCCTACAAAAGCTTGTTTTTAGACATTGTGAATGTTTATATGGCATAGATATGTATATCTATACACATACTAGATTCACTGATCTGTTTAAATGACAGATGGGTAGGATTGTACTTTTGTTTTCTATGAGTCTATATAGAGAAGAAAGAGAAAGACTGAATGGAAATAAAGCAAATACCAAGACAGACCTATACTCTTGGCAGCTAGGCAAGGGATAAGAAGACCTTTGTTTCTATTAGAGATACATTCAATGAGTGCTGCTGTTAATCCAGGAAAATTGCATTGATAAAGTGACCAGTTTAAATATAATTTGCATTTTATAGGGTAATTAAGTGATTGAACACTTATTTTTTTAAAAAATAACCTTATTTACTTATGCCACTTTATCCCACACATTCTTTGTCCTTTGAAATCTTATAAGAGAAGAGATACAAAATTAAATTCAAGAGAGTCACTGAAAATTTGACACAATGTGAAATCAATTCCTGCTTATTTGCTCATGCTTATTTTCTGTGTTGAGGGAAAAATACCACTTGCCTAGTGTTTTATACATTTGTCCTTATTTAGCCTATATCAGAATTTGGTTTTATAAAAAACATGCTGTTGTTTTTCAAAGTGCTTATTTTTATTTCATGGCTATCCTACACACACACAATGAATATTTTAATGTATTATATATTCATATATGTATGTAATCTGTGTAAAACTTATTCCAATTTATTAAAAAAAATCTTTTACATTTATTTTCTCATTTGTGCCTTAGAACAGTCCTGTGATTCATACGTTATTATCCATTTCTCAAAGTTCAGGAAACTAAAATTCTGAGAGGTTAAATTTACTTGCTCAAATTTTAATCAAGCCAAACAACTTGAAAATGTCAGCCTCAGAATTTAAACCTAGGCTTTTTAAAGCAAATCTTTCATCTCTGGCAATAAAACACAGCACTTTCATTGCTTAAGTTGTGTAAAGTATTTTTAAGGTAGAATTTCCCTAAATGAATAAATTAAATCTTTTCAGATACTTGACTGTGTAGGTGGTTGCACTATCAGTGGGTTCTGTGCTTGTGTGTTTTTTCATCTCCTGTAGCAGTTAAGTGCCAGCTAATGTACAACACAGTCCAAGACAGAAATTCAGTCTGGACAGGACCAAGGATAGCTTTCTTTAGAAAGGCAAATCATTTTAGAATCCGCCTTGCAGACTCTGTTGTAAGGATTTCAGGTAAATAACCTGGCAGTAAAGGAAGTTGGGAAGAATATGATGCATTTCAAGGTTTTAAAAAGAGAAGAAACCTCCCTTCTAAGGAATAAGTGTTCACCAGAGAACCCAGTAATCAACTAAACCAGTGGGTGGCAAACTCATTAGTCAACAGAGCCAAATATCAACAATACAACGATTGAAATTTCTTTTGAGAGCCAAATTTTTTAAACTTAAACTATATAGGTAGGTACATTGTTATTAACCTAATTAGGGTACTCCTAAGGCTTAGGAAGAGCCACACTCAAGGGGCCAAAGAGCCGCATGTGGCTCGCGAGCCGCAGTTTGCCGACCACGGAACTAAACTATTAACCCACAGGGTAACTGGACTTGTAAACTAAAATAACTAATTTCTAAGAACTTTATTGCTTAAGATTATGGATAAATGGGACATAAAGGCCTGACTACTGACTATAACACTAGGGTTAATTTTATTTTCCTGAAAGCACTACAAAATACTTTCTGTCTAATAATGGTATTTATTTCAGCAATTGTTCAGTTCTTGTTATTGTTTGTATTTTAATTTGGTTTTGTAAATTTCAAATGTAGAAGATGAAGTTATTCAATTTCCAAAGCTACCTACATTATCATCAGAATCCATGCTGGGTTCCTCTCTCATTTCATTTAATTATTACTCAGATCCCTATTTTTTACTCCCATTTATTTCATTCTATATTTTGTTTATTTTACCTGAGATTCTGTATTTTAAGATCTATTAATGTTGTTCTGTGTATATATAACACATTGCTTCTGACTGCTTTATATTTTTTAATGTGTATCTACCATTTTTTACCTGTCCACCATCTGTCAAGGAATCAAACATTCCCTAAGCAGCAGTGACTAATTGGTTGGCCTACCAGTCTGCCATAGCTTTGTTCAGTAAGGACAGGACACAATAAGACCAAATACACACACAGCAGAAGCAAGATAAGCAGGATGTCAGTTACCTGTGGCCCACAGAAATGAATGAAGTAGATTGACCAAATGACAGATGTCATAAGCAATGGGTCACTCAGTTATGGAGGATCAAATTCTATACTATAGTTAGGTGACTTTGTAGCCTGCAGATGTACCTAAGGGACATTGACAAGGTGACATACCCCATGCTCCTCTAAAACTAGGGGAATGCATAAGAAATAGCCGTCTGCAAAATAGGGTGCTTCTCTGGCTCACACAAGGGCCTTGTGACAGCTACTCACAATACTACCTATTTCTCCATGTTCTGGGTAAAGCCCAGGGTCATTCTGCTAAGGCTTGAGTCAGACTGGGGATAAGCTTGTCAACACCACCCGTGTGGAGACATGCAAGTTCAAGAAAATGGCGCCACATTGGAGCTCCTCCCCTACTATACCCCAGGGATAAGACACCAACCTTACATACAACTCCCCATGTCCTTGCTTATGTCTCATCTCATAGCTATGGAACACTCTCTCTGGGAAAAGTAACAGATATGCTTGTTCTTAATTTGACTGAGTTGCATCAAATTGTTATGTAGAATGGCTGTATGCTCAGCATTTATATCTCTGCCACACTCTTGCCAACACCTAGCATTTCCTAGATTTCTAAATATTACCAGTTTAGCAGTTGTAGAGCGAACATCTTCATATCATTATTTACTAACTAGAGGCCCAGTGCATGGATTTGTGCACATTGAAAGGAAGTTAATTAGAAGAAATATTTTAGAGGCTGGGGAGGTACTGCAGGAGGTTGGCTCCAGGGCGTGTCCAGCTCATCTCGCCCAGTCCCGATTGGGGCTGATTGGGGCCGTGTCCAGCTCATCTCGCCCAGTCCCGATTGGGGCTGATCGGGGCAGAGGAGGGACTGCAGGAGGGCTCCAGGGCATGTCCGGCCTGTCTTGCCCAGTCCCAATAGGCCGAACCCCAGCAGCAAGATAACATACCAGTCAGAGCGTCTGACCCCTGGTGGTCAGTGCACATCATAGTGACTGGTGGAATGGTTGACCTAATGGTTGGACACTTAGCCTATTAGGCTTTTATACATATAGATGAGTTTGTGTCTCTTCATATTATTGTTATTCTATCTGTCCCTGAACACTTCATTTGGTTTCATTGAGTTATCTTTTCTTGTGCTAAACCATGCATTCTTTCCTATAGCTTTGTTTTGCTTTTCAATAGTGTTGTTTAGTTTTCCTTCTTTTGTCATTTTTTTCTAAGTTTGAATTCCCTTTTGAAAAACAATTCTATCAGATTCTAATTTTGCAGGTGCTTGAAACCAGTCCAAGAAACAGTTGGGACAGATTCCAGGCTAATGTATCCAGTTTCTTAGTCATCATTTCCACAAGGCTAAATATTTAGCATCTCAAAACTACAAAGTTTAATATCATATTCATAATATTCCTCATCCTAAACATGGTCAACTCATAGTCTGTAAATTAGTAAATGAGAGTTTGTGTATATAACTTGGATAAGCTTCTGGAGTAATAGAGTAATGTGGATATCCAATTGTTGCAGATCATTTGTAGAAAAAAAACCTGTTTTTTCTCCATTGGATTGTCTTGGCATCATTGGCAAATATGAGTTTACTAGAGGCCTGGTGCACAAATTCATGCACAGGTGGGGTCCCTCCCGGCAGATCGGGGTCATCTCACCCAGTCCCAATCAGAGCCATCAGGGCCGGCCAGCTGGCCGAGGGGAGGGACCACAGCAGGTTGGGCGGCAGTGGGAGGTTGGCTGTAAGAGCTCACTAACCACTAGAGGGCAGCTCCTGCATTGAGTGTCTGCCTCCTGGTGGTCAGTGCACATCATAGCTACCGGCCGGTCATCCTGTCATCTGGTCATCTGATAATAAAGGTCGCTTAGGCTTTTATATATATACTAGAGGCCCATTGCAGGAAGATTCCTGCAAGAAGAGGGCTTCCTGTAGCTGGAGTCAAGCAGAGAAGGGAGTGAAACCTGCTGAGGCGGGCTTTGCTCCCGCTTCGCCGCGCAGCTGGTTTTTTCCCCTCCCGCTCTGCGGCGCAGCTGGGTTTTTCCCACCCTCCTGCTCCGCTGCCCGGCTGGTTTCCCTCCCGCCTCCCACCTCCACCACCTTGGCTTTGTTCCTGTCTCTGCCACCTCTACTTTGCTCCCTTCTGTAGCGCTTAGCTTCCACGTTGTCTTCAGTCTTCGCTCCCAGCCAGTATATGCAAATTAACCACCATCTTGGTTGGGTTAATTTGCATATAGTTGCTCTGATTGGCTGGTGGGTGTAGCGAAGGTATGGTCAATTAGCATCTTTGTCTTTTATTAGTGTAGATATATAGATTTCTAAATTGTCAATTCTGTTTCACTGATCCACAAGCCTATCTTGTGGCAATACTGTAATATCTAGGTATGATAACTTCATAGAAGTGTTGAAATTGTGTAATATTAACTCCTGCACCTTTGTTCTTATTTTTCAAAATAATGTAGGCTATTATATGTCACTTAAATTACTATGTACATTTTAAGATGAGCTTGGCAATATCTACAAAAGATTATTCTAGAATTTTCATAGATAAATTTTTGAATTCATAAATCAATTTGAGAATTATCATCTTGACAGTAATGAGTTTTCCAATTCATGAGATGATTTTTCTGTAACTTGCTTTCTCATATTTAGTTTCAGTAGGAATGTGTATGTGTGCATATGTATGTGTACTTCTTTGCAATTTTGTAACAACCAGGTCATGTCTTCTGTAAATAAAGCTTTATCCTTCTTGTCCAAACTGCATAACTAGATGCCTTTGTTTATGTATTTACTATAAAACCTCTAGTAAAAAAACTAATTAATTATATTTAACTGTACCATTTGAATTATCATGAGAGCATACCCTGCTCTTAAGTACTAATCCCCCACCATACTTACCAAACTGTGATTATTTCATCAAATAGAGAGTTGATAAAGTTATTGTTGAAGTAATAATCTGTCTTAGTCCAAAAATCATATTTGGATAATATAAATGTTAGTTTATCAATTACATTCCATCTCAAACTCAGTAATTATGAGATATTCAATTAGTATAATATATTTGAAGTTGACTTGTAAAGTTCCAGGCACCTTGCAATGATACAGGGTGTCCCAAAAACAGGTATACACAATTTTCACAGCTGATAACTTAGTTGATGTTTCCTTCTTTACAGCCAGACTAAGTTTTGAACAAAGGAAATCTATTCTAAAATGATACTGGAAGTTTGAAAACATAGTTGTAGTACAAAACTTGCCTTTATAATTATTCAAAGTGTGTATATATACTTTAACAGCTGATAACTCAACAGCTAATTCACTCCTTTTCAGGTTTAACTGATTTAAAATAATGGATGAAGCCAGACTAAGCTTTGAACAAAGAAAATGTATTCACTAGACTTTTTTTAAAGGATACATAAAAGATAAAGTTTATGGTACAAAACCAGCAACAATAGAAAAATTGAGGGTGCACAAACACCGAACAAAATGATTCTTAATGTTTCTGATTCCTTTGCTTCACGTTATCAGCAGTACCTGGACCAGAACGATCATCAGTTTGAAAATGGGTGTTGACAAAAAAGATTATTTATTTCTGTAGAATATTTTAAGTTTTGAAAAAGAATGGTAGGTTAATAGACACTGACTTTATAATCATTCAAAGTATCTATACATTTTAGGGGACACCCTATATATTAATTTCTACTATTATTGTTATGCATATTATTGACAGAAACATTTTGACTTTCACCAGACTAGTATAGACTTTTTTAGTGTTACTGTGCCAGGAGCTGGACTGGGTCCTCACCATCTCTCACATATATTATTGCAATGATTTTCAAATTTGATTCCCTGCAGTTTTCCTGTCATGTGATCCAACTTCAACATGGAGACCAAATTTATTTTTTAAGTAGCTATATATGACCATACCTGTCCCTTGATTCAAACTCCCATAGAATATCTACTGTAAAAATGGGAAATAAAAAGAGAAAGAGAGGAGGAGGAAAGAGAAAAATCCTTTTACAAAGGTATTAAGCATTTTATTATTTGACTCAAACTTAGTATCTAGCCTCCTGTCCTGCCATATAGCCATTGCCTCAACACAAACTCTTTACCTAATTATGCAAGTGTAGCTCTTAGTAATATTTGCATTCTTTAAGGAATATATAAAATATAAAGGAATTGTAAAGCTATTTTTAAAGAATATAACAAATATTTTTCTATGTTAGCAGTGACACAAAAACTTTCTTTTCATTGAATAGTTATTAAATGTTATCAATTTTATATACTATTTTGTAATATGAATATAACCACAAATATTTGATATCTCAGCCATTTCCTTAATCATAAGCATTTAGGTTATTTCCAATTAAATACTTAGTATTTTAAATACACACATTTAAACTTTAAAAAGTATTTAAAAAGTGTGTGTGTGTGTGTGTGTTTAAAACTTTAGAAAGAAGTGAGAAGATACTCACCAAAATAATAAATGTGATTATCTCGAGGTAAGTGGGCAGGGGATTCTATTAAGGAGATGATCAAAGGAACGCTGGTCTTGTATAGAAAGAATAATTACAAGCTTATGCATGAATCTGTTATTTGTGAAAATAGTTTTTAAAAACAGATAATGAGAGTATAAAATGTGTATTTAAGCATCTGTAATTTTTTCCTTATATTTAACTATTTATTATTTATAGTTTACTTCAATATTATTTTGTATTACTTTCCAGTGTATTGCATAGTGGTTTAAGCAATCTTTAGATTTGCAGTGTTCCCCTTGATATTCTAGTACCCACCTGTCACCATGCATAGTTATTACAACACAAGCATCTGTAATCTTAAAGGAAAATAAACAACACTGAAAACAAAACTTTTGGTATTGTGATCATGTGTGGCATAGATTTGCCAATTTTAAGAGAAAGAGAACAGCTAATCATGACTAAATGGTAGCCACCAGAAATAGTCTCCATTAACTTTCCTGTTCCTTGTAGTGTTTCTCATAGCTGTAGCAATTTTCTTTAATGCTCATGAAGTTGGTTATAACACTGACCTATAGCAGTTTGCCTGTTATTAAACTATTTTTGTAGGCAATGAGTCTAATATTTATGAAGCCTTCATTATATTACACTGATTTAAAGGTATAGCATTCCATTAAAAGATGATATTAAACTAAACTCAGACAAATATAAACTTTTTTTGTGTTACAAAGCAGTGTATATCCTTAACCTCGAGATAAATGACTAGAATTTCATTAAGCCAAATGCCTAGTCTTTTCAGATAGTTGAATATAAATGTGAACATTGTAAAAATTCATATTAATATTGTTAGAAAATAATGTATGCCTTAATAACAAGTTATTAGGCTATTTATTTCAAGGAACACAATACATCTAGGAAATGAGAATTTTGTCTTCAACTGTTGTCTTTCTGGACCAGTGCTTAGATACAGATTACTGCCAATTACATGTGTAATGGAGTACATTTGCAGTTATTGCTGGATTAAGATTTGTCATTATAGTTTGTAAATGAGCAATTCCCCTTCACAATTGTGCTGTCATTATTGTCAAAATGGAACATCAGCACAACCATTTAAACACGTTGTATACTTTTTATCTTTTCACAAAAACAAATGATCTCTAAAATCAGCTATTACCATGGCTAATATATACTCTTCCACAACATAAAGATGCCCTAAATTTCTCTCTGGTCCAGTCTTGTTAAGTTTAATGAGTAACATAATTTAAATATCTGAGTTATGATCCATCAGCCTTGCTTTCTACATAGAAAGCCTGTCAGGAAAGAGTTAAGGGCAGAAAATCCAATCCTTAATTTTACTATTTCTCTCACCACTCTGCATATTTACTAAGTTAACAAATGTTGACCATAATTTTCTCCTTTTCCATTGTCCTTGTTTCTGATTCTGAAAATCATTGCTCATACTCTCATCTTTTGAGTCCAAAAATCCTTCTAGTTTTCTCCTTATGCCTTGGCCTCCCTTATCCAGCAAAAATGTGCTAATTTAGAGAAAATAATTTAAAACAAACTTTTCCAATATCTTTTGTATTAACATCTTCTCAATAATTTGTAGACAATATTGTCAAACTAGATTCACAAGTCAGGATTTTTATTTTTTTACTAGAGGCCCGGTGCACGAAATTTGTGCACTGGGGGTGAGGTGGGGAGGTCCCTCAGTCCAGCCTACCCTCTCACAGTCCGGGAGGCCTCAGGGGAAGTCCTACTCCTCCCAGGAGGAGTGGGCCTAAGCCGCAGTCTGGCCACGGAGGCTCGAAGCAAGTGCCGTGTGTGTGTGTGTGTGTGTGTGTGTGTGTGTGTGTGTGTGTGTGTGTCCCCGCTGGGGGCCTGCCCCTAGCCATGTCAGAGGCTCAGAGTAGGCGCCCTGTGTGTGTGTGTGTCCGCTGGGGGCCTGCCCCCAGCTGCACCATGGAGGCTCGGAGAAGGCACCCCTCTGTGTTGATCTCTCAGGCTCCCAGCGGTACCTGAGTGTTGTTCTCTCAGGCTCCGGGCCTTACCTGGACCCTCCTCCTAAGCTGGTCGAGATCCTAACGGAGACCCAACCTCATTTGCATATTACTTCTTTTTATATATATAGATTCATTCAATCAATATTAGTAAGTACCCTTCCTGACTAATTTTCTACATAAGTTTAATTAATGGTTAATTATTCTGTTTTTACATTATGGTTAATAAGTGGCTTTCTTAAGACAAAACCTGCTTTATTCAGAGGTAAGATTTGAATTTGACATAGTCTTGATTGACATTCCAAACCTCAGAATCTTTACACAGAGACACAGAATATTCATCAATCTGTATGTCTATAGCAGTGATGGCGAACCTTTTGAGCTCGGTGTGTCAGCATTTTGAAAAACCCTAACTTAACTCTGGTACCGTGTCACATATAGAAATTTTTTGATATTTGCAACCATAGTAAAACAAAGATTTATATTTTTGATATTTATTTTATATATTTAAATGCCATTTAACAAAGAAAAATCAACCAAAAAAATGAGTTCGCCTGTCACCTCTGACACGCGTGTCATAGGTTCGCCATCACTCGTCTATAGCTACTTGTCCATGCATAGATTCGTGTAAGTGTTGGAAGTACAACTATGGTTCAATTATGACAAAGCTGTTTGCTTCATTACCCTTGACTTGTTGGGTAGCCATCCTCAAGTATCTTCTCCATCTATGCTATGTGGCAGGCCTTAATTATGCTATGACTTCGGATGAGAATTTAGGAAGAGTAAAGTACTTAGTCTTAATTTGTCTTTCAGCCTCTTCAATTACTATTTTTTGTAATAAGTTTTTAACATTTTTAAATAGTTATAGAATTATTGTGAAAAAAGTATAGAGAGTCCTCATATACCATACATTCATTATATCCTCTATTAATACCATGGGCATTTTATGAAGATGTCTTATTATTGTTTGGGTTTTTTTAATATATTCTTTGAATAGTATTAACATATATATATATATTTTAAATATTTTATTTATTTATTCCAGAGATGAAGGGAGAGGGAGAGAAAGATAGAAACATCAATGATGAGAGAGAATCATTGATTGGCCACCTCCTGTATGCCCCACACTGGGGATCAAGCCCACAACCCAAGCATGTGCCCTGATGGGGAATCAAACCATGACCTCCTGGTTCATAGGTTGATGCTCAACCACTGAGCCATGCCAACCGGGCAATATATGTTCTTTATTGGCATGTTTTTTTATAATATTTTCTCCCAGTTTGCAATTTTTTCATTCTTTTTAATGGTGGCTTTTACAGAGCAGAAATTTAAAATTTTAATAAAATCCAGGTTAGCAGTTGTTCCTTCATGTAGTATGATATTAGTATTATATTTATGAACTATGGACAAACTCAAAATAATGTAGATTTTTGCTATTTTTTAAAGATTTTCATTGTTGTACATTTTACATTTAGGTCTGTAATCATGGTGAGTTATACTTTCTGAATGATATAAGGTCTGTGTCAAGTTTCTCCCTTTTTGTTTTTTCCCATGCAGATGTTCACTTGTCCCAGCACCATTTATGAAGAACTGACATTTGCGTATTGAGTCTTCCAATCAGTGAACATGGAATTCATGTAACTTCTTCTTATGTAGACCATATTATTAGTGTGTAGTACCCCTTTTTATTTCTGATAATTTTTCTTGCTCTAAAGGTTTTGTTTTTCTTAAATTAATGTAGACACTCCAGCTTTATTTTGACAGGTGTTAGCATGTTAACTCTTTCTTTATCCCTTTACTTTTAACTGAGCGAGAGGAATGACCTTCTCCCAAACTCTAGGATGGGGTTCTGATGAAGTTTTTCTTCCTAGAAAGTGCATCTTTATTGTTGAATAGGTTCTGCTCCTATTTTACAAAGATTACTTCTCCTCTCTCCCTGCAAGTCATGAGGCAATATTTATTGACTTTTAACCATGAGTTTCTGGTTGGTTCTACTGTGAAGATACCCAATTTGTTAAACACAGTGTTGATGAGTTTCAGAGAATAGGATAAAACGTCTGCACAATGCTCTTATGTACTATGTTGAGTAACTTAACTCAATGGTTTACTAAAACCAGATAAAATGATGTTACATTGCTTGTGTTTGGAACATAATGGGAAATAAATATTAACTCTAAAAGTTTGACTTTAAGTCCCATCTCCTGCAATGGTAATTGAATCTGTCATCCAAATTAAGCCATTGTCCCAATAATCAATATAAACCATGGATAATAACATTGTTACCATATATGTCGTATAATTTATGAGCCTGCAATATTTTGGAGTATTTGATTGTTAATTTTATATGTCAAAATGACTGAGCTAAGGGATACCCAGATAGTTGATAAAGCATATGTCTGTGAGAGTGTTTCCAGAATAGACTAACATGTGAATCAGTAGACAAACTAAAGAAGATCTCCCCTCACCAATGTGAGTGACAATCATCCAATCTATTGGGGGCCTGAATAGAAGAAAATTAAGGAAGAAAGGCAAATTCTATCTCTAATTGTGCTGAGATAGAATGAGAACATTGTGCTGGCATGTCCATCTATCTTCTGCCCTTGGACAGGGCAGCTTCTGGTTCTTGGGATTTTGGACTCAGGTTGAATTTTATATTGTTGTTCTGTTTCTCCATTTTACAGATGGCTGACTGTACTTCTCAGTCTCCATAATCACAGGAGCCTATTCCTATAAAAAGTCGGTTTTCTCACTCCCATACAATCTGTTTCTCTGGGGAATCCAGTTTCTCTGGGGAACACTGACTAATATACCCCATGCAACACATAAAACAGTTTATATGAATCTAGGAAGTAATTGTTACTGTCTGTAGAGAAATTAATCTTTGTTGACACAATTTTTATATAGTTTTTACATATTTTAAGGGTTAGCTGGTAAGCAAAATTATGTGTATTTTGGTAGAACACAGTGCTTATTTTTGTTACTTCTTATTTGTCCTGAGCAAGAACATTGTTATATTTTGTACTATTGAGAACAATTTTACACATTACCACAGCATGGTGAAATGCCTCAATATTTAATACATTATATATTAAATTAGTGCACTGCAGTGTTTCTAGGTTATGGAGAACACTTGTGTAGTCTAAATGGCAGTACTCAGTTCTAACACAATTATTTAAAATAACATTAAAAGAATCAAATAGGCTGCTTTTACATGAAACTAATGGTAAATCTTGGCTACTATTCAATGGAAAATTCATTTATAGAGATGATGCAGTATAGTGAATATAAAACAACTATAAAATAAATTAATTTAAAATTACCTTCAAAAACTACATTTTATAATATACTAGAGGCCTGATGCATGAAATTCGCGCAAGGGGCTCGGCCCTCGCATTCCAGGCTTCGTCCAGAAGGTCGTCCAGACAGTTGTTTTGCTGTTTGGTCTAATTAGCATATCAGCTCTTTATTATATAGTATATCTCATCTGAACATTTAAGTAACATTCTCTTTTTATGGAAACCAAAGTTTTAGATCTAAAATGTAATGCAGCTTGTTGACAACTTGAAGAAAAAAAATGTGTTTCTAATTGGAAAGGCAAGGGAAGATGTACATCCTCACCCAGGGGTATTCTGCAGAAAGCCATTTCCTGGTGATTGACATTAATGGGAATTTCACATGTGTATGTGGGATAGAAAATCTTGCTAATTAGTGTTTTCCTTCCATACATTTTATTTCTCATAAGGTTTAGTTGATGAGCTGTATCAGCAATACAGTTTTAGAAATGTTTACCAAAGAATGATTCATGAAAATATTTCTTCCTCTGAATTTAGTGAGAAATCCAATATAATTTCACGCATAATTAGAGTTTAAATGATGCCATTAAAACACAAAATACAAAAAGTAAACATGCATTTCCCATCCTAGAGTTCTAAGTCTTAGTATGTGAACTTCTGTTTTTGTAGAGCTAGAAATTCAAATAGATAAATACTTATTAATGAGTATAGAGAATTTTTAACTTTCTAATATCTGTAGTTCAGTGAAGCATCCTAAAATAAGTGCCTGTCATTATAAAGCATGAAATTATTTGAACTTAGTCCATAGAATTATTTTGCAAAAAGTTTTCAGAGTTTTACAGATCCAATAAACTTTAATGCCTCATTTTTTATTATGGGCTATTTTATTTATTGGTGTTATTGCCATGTCTTAGGTATATTTCTCAAAATTGGACTATAATGTTCTATGTTTAACTGCTTTTTAAGTATCTATAAAGCTTCACATTCTACTTATAAGGAAATTATTAAACATATCTATTCTGAGATACTCAACTGATGCTTTTTTCATATGAAACAACAAGGCTTACTAGAGAAGGTCAGGTGCTATAGCAATTATTGTTTTTATCCCCCATCCTTACTCACATTATTTTTTCATCTCCCTACTCTAGCTGTCACTTTCACCACATAAATCTTTTAAAGCAATGACTAAATATTATATTTAATATAATAACTTCATATATAACATGTCTCCTTTAAGACAACATGTTGGCCCCTCAAAATTATCCATGTCTTAATCTGGGATTGCATTATGTTACATGGAAAAGAGAATTAGGTCTCCCTACTCTAGCTGTCACTTTCACCACATAAATCTTTTAAAGCAATGACTAAATATTATATTTAATATAATAACTTCATATACATGTCTCCTTTAAGACAACATGTTGGTCCCTCAAAGTTATCCATGTCTTAATCTGGGAATCTGGGATTGTATTATGTTATATGGAAAAGAGAATTAGATTGAAAATGGGATTGAGGGTGATAATCAGCAGACATTAAAATGGGGATATTATCCTCAATTATGTGGGAGGATCCCACTTAAAAAAGGGTCCTTATAAGTCAAAGAGGGAGGCAGTAGTGACAGTGCTCTGGACATGCTGCATGAAAAAGTCCCATCAAGCCATTCCTGTCTGTATGGGAAACCGGTCACAACCGGAGTTTAATAAGTGAAGGGGTAGGGAGGACATGGCTTCTCCCCTAGGGCACCTGGAGGAACCCAGCCCTGCCAACATTTGATTTGAGCCCAGAGAGATCCACTTAGGACTTCTGACACCCAGAACTATCACATGGTTAATCAGAGGGGTTTTTTAGCCATCAAGTCAGGCAATTTATTATAGCAGCAAGAGGAAATGAATACAATATCAAAAATATAATTAATAATTCACCCAGACATGCTGACAATAAACTAATAATAAGGCCTTCCTACTTCTCTTACTCTTCTCCTTATTCACGTTGCATTTTCCAATGTCTGAGCTCAAATTTTTAGTTTTTCTTCAACCCATACAAAAAACTTTCATTCAATATAATTTTAATTAACATAAGCTTTTGGTCTATGTGGGAGAAAAGTGCTAAAAAGAAATGAATATATATATATTTAATTTTTAGGCACTATTTATATAAAAATATTTCCTGTTCATCAATGTCTAAAGTCTTCCATATTGCTGTAGTCGTAACTAATAAATTATGCTGTCTCCAATTTGGATGTCTTTCAGTAACCAAGTAACAGTTTGTATTCAACTTCCTGCTTTTATGTTCTCAAGTAGACAAAGTTTACTTTTAATTATGAGGATAAAAAAGTGTCCTGACTCCATCTAAAATGCAAAGATGCTACTGATATTTGCTTATTTTCACACAAGTTAAACTCATCCTAAGTGAGATAAATATGTATAGCTATAGATATACACACACATATATATTGTTCATATTGTTAAAAATACAAAGCTTAGACTATATATGATACCATAGGTGGAGAATCTCCTACTTGTATGGGGCTTTACATTTTAAACTTCTAAGTTTAAATTGTGTAAGGCCATTGTGTATAAGTTTAGAATCAGGAAGTGTAGATATCATATTCGTCTGTATGGGCAAATCCTCCGACTTGGAACCTTTTATTATTGACCCATCTTATATAGGGAAGGGTATACTTGAATTTATATTTTTGAGAAAGAGAGCTTTTCAAAGAAAAAGACTGTTGGTCTGTGGTGGTATGTACTGCTAGTCCATTCACTTCTATTTGCAATGATTAATTGCTACTAAACTTCCTAATAATATTTATTAAGTGAACAAGATATTTACTCTTTAAATTCAAAATTTTTGAACATCTTTATTACTTCAATGATGTAAAAATATAGTAAAGGTTACTGGACCCTGAATTTCATTATAGACAAATTATATTTTGAGTCCAGAGGTAAAGTCTGTTTTCCGAAATCATACCAGCATGTGGAAAGGCTGAGGGAGGCAATTCTAGGCACTATGTGTGGCTGATGCATGTTCTCTGAACTAGCCAGCCTGGCACTATTGATATGCGTAATGAAAATCATTACATGGATATGAGTTGATAACATTATTTGAATCGGTCCCTAACAAATATAATAATGGGAATCTAGTGTTATTTGACATAAATTCTTAAAACTGAGTTTTGAGAATAGAGATAAGTGCACTTTACCACTTATACCTTCAAACCCATGAGTGAAAAAGCAACTAATAACACATGTACACAACTACGTGTATAAAAAAAACCAAAATTTTAAACCCTTATTTATAGGAATAATGTATGTATTGGAGCTTAGGAATTTTTCCCAATTAGCACTTAAGGTCTCTAGTTTTTTTTTTTAAAAATGTGAGCAATATGCAACATGAATATACTGTAAACATGATGACAAAAGTATTACACTTAGGTTTTAGAAGTTATATTATTATTGAACATTATATAAAAGTAACTGAACTTATTTTATTTTTATTTTAAATTTATCTTTATTGTTGCAAGTATTACAGATGTCCCCCATACCCCCAAATCATTGGTGAGACTATGTTGTTTTTTCTGTAGTTACAGAAAAGTTGAGTTAGAATCATGTATTGATTAAGATAACAAATCAGGAATGTCAAAAACAAACAGATTTTATGCATATTATGGAAGTCAACCGAGCACACAAGTATGTCAGCAATAATTTTTTAAATTAAATCACTTCTCACAAATTTGCCAAATAATTATGAATTATTAAATTTTTAATCACTTGTGCAAATCAGTAGTTGCTAGCTTATCTAAAAACAATTTTAGTTTTGCATTGGTAGTATTTCTAAGGATGTGCATATAAATTTACTATCCATGACAAGATAAGAAATAAGGTAATATATATCAAAAGCAATATGTATTTATATCCAAAGTGATCATTTGTTTATTTTACAAATAACACACAGACCTATTTTTAAGCAATAAAACATTTGATCAAGAATGAATAAAATATGCTTGAAAATACTTTTATTATTTTGATCACTTGCCTTTAGCTATACATTTGCAATAATTAAACTGATAATTACTTTGTTCAATGATTAAAAACTCACTGACAGTAAGTTTGAAACCATCTAAACCCATCGTGTATAAGTTATACTTTTCAGAGAACTACTTAAACATTTCTGGAAATGATGCAATGAAATAAGTACTATCCTGCAAATCAATAAAACCTTGAATTTCAAGTCAATTATCTCTCCTATGGGATTCAAATTGATTTAGAAACTCAATTGTATGCACTATTACCTACAAAAATAATGTTTGTGTGTCTCCCTCCTATTGGGTAAATAAATGTCCTCTGAGGTGATGAATTCCACTACAATTTGAAAATGTATATATAATAATAGAAATATAAAAAATTGCCTAGTATCTTTAAAATTCACCATCCATTATAACTTTACTTTATCCAGTACATTCTTCCAACACCCTACATACACAGGAATGACTTACACTGTTTCCAGTCGGAGCTCATCAGTGACTCTGGCAGCCAGTGTGCCCCTTTCTGAAACCAAAAGCATAACTTCA